ACACCAATGGGGACACCTCGCTGGACAGGTTGGCCACACGTTTCCAGGTGAGCCTCTGCACACCCCAGACCTACACCCAGGGCTGGTGGCAGCTGCTGGTCTCACCCTCTCCTCCCCAGGACACGCTGTGGACACGAGATGAGAGTCAGAGTGGCCTGAGAGCCCCTGACCCCAGTCTGGCATCCATCACCCACCTGCCTGGCAGCACCGCCTGGCAGCACCAGGTAAGACCAGACCGAGTTGTGTGAGGGACTGGGAGTGGACAGGGGCCTGGGAGGGCCAGGGAGGACTGAGGGGGTGCTCAGGGCTCTTGAAGGCCAGGGACACCTCTGATGTCTCTGTTTTCTCCTCCAAGCTCCCAGCCCCTGGAGGAGGAGCTCACCTGTCCCAGCCTCTGCCAGGTGAGTGGGAGGGCTGTAGGGGGCCTGGAAGAGATGCTGGGGGGGATCTGTGCACTATCACCATTTGAACCCCCAAACCATCCTCTTTTGAAACCCCAAACCATCCCATTTTGGACCTCTAAACCATCCCCCTTTGCAGCCCCACTGTATCCTGCTTTGCAGCCCCAAACCATCCCCCTTTGGACCCCAAACCATCTCCCTTTGGACTCCCAAACCATCCCCCTTTGCAGTGCCAAGTCGTCCTCTTTTAAACCCTCAAATCATCCCCCTTTGGACCCCCAAACCATCCCCATTTAGACTCCTAAACCCTCCTTCTTTGCAGCCCCACTATAACCCCCTTTGGACCCCCAAACCATCACATTTTGCAATACCAAATCATCCTCCTTTAAACCCTCAACCCATCCCCCTTTGGACTCCCAAACCATCACCTTTTGCATTGCCAAATCATCCTCCTTTAAACCCTCAACCCATCCCCCTTTGGACTCCCAAACCATCACCTTTTGCATTGCCAAATCATCCTCCTTTAAACCCTCAACCCATCCCCCTTTGGACTCCCAAACCATCACCTTTTGCATTGCCAAATCATCCTCCTTTAAACCCTCAACCCATCCCCCTTTGGACTCCCAAACCATCACCTTTTGCATTGCCAAATCATCCTCCTTTAAACTCTCAAATCATCCTCTTGGAACCCCTAAACCATCCCCATTTGGACCCCCAAACCATCCCCATTTAGACTCATAAACCCTCCTTCTTTGCAGCCCCACTATA